AATATGACAGTCATCCTAGCACATATCGCCGTGAAAACCTCAAATCCTACACAATATGAACACAGTCTACATATGCATGTACATTCAGAACTTTTACGATAAAACGTAATTTTGATTCCAATAAAATTCTGACATATGATATATTTTATTTTGCTATCTCATGTATAAAGCTTAGGTTGTACCACAAATAGTGAATACGTTAAAAAGCCTCACGAGTTTACTGTGACTAGTCATTGCTAGAATAACGGTATTTTACGAAAATGTCTCCTGACATTGTTTCTGAAGTTAACCCACACAAATTGTCTGTCAGAGTACTTTTAGTCTTAGCCTACAGAATTGCTTGTAGTGCAATGAAAATGAGCGACTGAGCGAAGGCGGCTCGAACGGGGTTTAAGAGGGCAGAGATGATTCAGCAAACCATCGTTCCCCAGCCAGGGAATGTCCTTAAAAGGAGAATAATAATTCATGAAGCCCACATTGCTTGAGACATGGCAAGGCCAGCAGTAAATGTAAGTTGGCAATTATGCAATTCACAGATTAATTTATGCGCATAATTTCCTCTGGGTATATGTTGCGACTTCGTTAAATTTACGCCACATAACCACAGAGTTTCGTCATTTTTGTAATTGTTGGCATATACAAATATTAATACGTAGTCTGTACGAATGCTTATGGTTCCATCCCTCTAAAAAATTAAGATGCCTGGATCCATCGATTAATTTAGCTACCGTTGCCAAGACAAAAGCTAACTCTATTGTTGTCTTATAGTTAACTAAGCAATTGCCCCAAAAAAATTGATAAATTTCAATGATATTTTACTGGGCAGATTTCGTGACTGTATTAAGTAGCCTTAATGTCACCCCATCTCTGAAGTTAACTTGGCCACAATGTTTATATTTCAGATGTTACCGAGGGGAGTTCATCAGTTTGTTCAGAGTTATTGCACGAAATATCATAGGACGTACGTGGTACCACAACTATAACATTCCTTATAAAGTATTACAGAATATTACGAATGAATTTGGAACGCACTTCTGACGTCATTATGATCATCATCATAAGCGACGAAGATTGGACCAATTTTTGACGTGCTAGCATCCCATTCTCAGTCTCTGAACTCCACGGCCTCCCTTCCTCTCGGCTTGTTATTCCAGGCAGCCTCAGCTGAGCGATTGTCAGGCATCCTCGACGTCTCTCAAGCCTCTTCTATGGAGCACAGTTATTTCACGGACACTGCGCTCTTGAAACGTTTCCCTCTGATTTTTCACTTCGTCTCCGATCTAAAAGTGTATAACCCGGAATTCATATAAGAAATCGTATCTCATCCACCGCTTCTGTTTTTTTTCTGGTTTTCTCTTAGAGTCTAGCCTTTGCAGTAATACAAAAATAATTCTGTGACAATTACCTTGTACGGTGTCAACGTCGTTTGCTTCCGTGCATTTGCACCTAATGCACGCTTTATAGTACCATAACTTATGATTATCCTTCACAACTTGGTTATTTCTGCAAGCTACTTTACAACCTGAACATTCAAAAGCTATGACTTTAACAATTATCCATCCACCCATCCATCCATAATAATATTTCATATAATTTATTCAGCTGGAGCAAATCGAATTAATTTTTTTAATTTTTCCGATCATAACTTTTTACGCATTTATCATATCCTCCATACATGCTACATACCTTGATCTCCTCGCATTTATTGATTTTATCATCGCAAAAACATTTGGGGAAGGATATAAATGTTAAAGCTTCCAATTATGTAATTGTTTCAAATCATCTCCCATTAAATCCCGGTTCTATCCAAGAATTCTCCTCTGCCCCCTTATCTAAAACGCTTTCAACAAGATTTAAAATTCCGATTTATTTTGAAAAGAAAGGTAAATTGTTTTCGGCAAATTTCAATGTTGTTAATGGTGTTATAATCAAATGTTTTTTGTGCGATTCAGTGTTTCAGTTAACGAATACCAGGTATAAAAAGAAAAGTTTTAATTTTGGTAACAGATTTAGAGAAAGAGCAATTAGTAAGTTTAAGATTTTGAAACGAAGGAAGACCTGTCTAAATTTAAAATGAAAGTGGTTCCGTAATGAAACAGCATGTTTCTGTTTAAAGTCTTATAACTAAGCTTATAATCTACAAGAAGAGTTATGGAAGGCAGATACAATGAAAAGCTAAATTATTCTAAATAATTTACCTTTAAATTACTTTCTCATAAAATAAAGCTACAATATTCTGACAATGGCTGTCTTCTACGTTGTTGCGCCGTGTAGTCTCGTAGAAGTTTATCGACGTTTCGGAGGTGGTTACTGCCTTCTTCATAAAGGCAATTGCCAAGGATAAAATGAAATCACACTAAGAGTATTGTAGATCAACACAATTTTATATCTATAAAAGGAAGCACGTTCATGACACATCGTTGTCATGACAGTAGTCTTATATTCTTGGAAATGTTATAATTCCTAACTGTGTATTGTTTTGCAGATTACGTGCGTGTTAAATTCCAAAGTTTGTTACAAAATACAAACGTTTACACTTAACGATAAAGTCGTACAATAAGAATTTCTTCCAAATTAATTCTACCTGCGATGAATTTGAGTCACATACAGTGTAGATTTGTGACGTATTTACCTTTGAAACGTTTGCCCGTCTTTTAACCAGAAAATATGCCGTATGCTATGTACACGTGTACGCTCAAGGAATTTATATTTTTATGTGAAACTGTACATAATTGTACTATGCCATATATATTGTGGGATGAGAAAATCAAGGATTATAAAATGGGCTAGTTATGAGAATATCATACAAAACTGTAACTAATCTTAAAATATCAAAGGAAGAGAAAACAGAGAAGATCATGGGTTAGATGAGACGATAATATTAAGACTGAGCTTAAAATATAGGGTAAAATGTGTGGATTGCATTTATCTGGCTCACGACAAGAGCCGATGACAGGTTCTTGGTAGCACGGTAATAAATCGCTGGATTTCGTAAAGGGCAGCGTTTTCTTAGACTAGCTACTAGCGACTGTTAGTTATCCAAAATTGACTCTGCTACATACATTTATTTTATTATTCAGTTGAAATGGGTCTTTCATCCTAAGGAAACACAGCAGTTTAGGGTGCATGAGAATTACTTACTGAGTGGAATATTAATCAGTATGAGAGATTAAAGATGATTATTGTGAACTTTGCATGATGAGATTTATAACTTTTGTTTCGCTAAATGTTGTTAGGGCTTGAATAGGAATAGAAAGATGATATGGGAAGAGTATGTAGCACGCATGGGTGTAAACAGAAGTGTATACATAATTTGGTTTTGAACATTGGAGGTAAAAGATGGATAATATTAAGGTTGATACGACAGTGAGAATTGGTCTCAGCAATTTAAGAATAGCGTCAAATGGTGAGTTCTTGTCAGCACTACGTATAATAAACCAAAGAAAACGAGGTGTTCCTTGACCAGCTGAGCAACTGTCAGAGTATGAAAGAGATTCTTGCTTCGTAGAGTTGGTTAATAGCTGAGAAATTCTATGTAGCAAGCTATTTTCAGTAGATTTGTGTACGGAAGTGAAATTTTGGTTTAGGTAATAGAAAATATAATGAAAGTTCAAATAGAAAAAAATGAACTTCTGAAGCAGCGACAAGTGATATACTAGGTTAGACGTTTCTGTAATTAAAAATGGGGCTGTGATGAATTAAATTTATATCTGACTAACTCCACACTATCTTTTATGAAACCAGAATGTTCATTACAATATTCATTAGAAACCAAAACTGGATCCTATACTGATCGACATGACTCCAGTCTTGTAACGTAGAATTTCTGATTCGTTTTCTTTATTATATTATTTATTGTAACAGTCTGTATAACAATTTTATGATAGGAATTAGTTTTGAATTTTTTTCGCGACATGTTTCGACATCAGTGTGTCATCTACACATAATTTTGTCGTGAAACTAATTTGAAATATTTCAACCTATTTCAAAGTCTGGTGCAATAAATTAAAAATGTTTTTAGATATGTAACATATCTGAAGTCTTTGTAGCTGTGTCAAAATTTGGCTCGTTAGAATATAAACTATATACAAAATTACCGTGCTGAATTACAAATGTTTTTAGATTTATAAACATTTAGCGCACGAATTTAGTTTCTCTTAATCTAAAGTAAAGTGATTAAGGAGCACGGAAACAGCCGCTAATCCAGTAAGGGTTTGAATCCGATACTTCCAGTTGCAAGGTTCAAAAGCGACTGCAAAGCCAAATTACTTGGGGTCGGAACTGGAAGAAACTAGCGTCTTCAAAATACGATCGACCTATTTGTAAACTTCACGTACCAAGACACTTCACTGCTTCCTCGTTGTTCATTTTTGACGTTCACAGATTTGTCTATTTACACGTTTTAATTCATTTTCTAACGTTAAAAAAGCTTTTAAAAATGTCTTTAGTATATTTTTATGAAGTTAAAGTTACATTTTTCCCGCAGAGAATGCTGGGATGTGATGCGGGCTCGCAAGTACACAACGCCAGCCATTGTGGGTAAAATCGCTGCTTGAGCCAAAGGTAATGGCGTTATTAAGAGTGCGCATTGTTAAGTGACGTGAGGTAACTCGGCTTCAGAGGATGCTTCAGCCTGAAGTGCGTCTTATCGAGGGAGTATGAAAAGCAGCTTTATGTGAAGATTTGAGGTTTTCACAGCGGTGAGTGTGAAGATTTCTGTCTTCTGGGTTGTTGCGCTGTGTAGTCTGGTCGACAGAAATCTTCGGCTTTATATGAATTAACCATTTCACTTTATTTGTGCGTGAACCATGATAAAACACCTCCACGTTCAACGCGAAATATCACGACGCATAAGAACTGATCGTAGGAATCTCAGAATTTTGCGTGCAATTGCAAGATAACTGTGCCATTCAGGTGACTTACTCTGCATCTCTCACAGAAATATAAAACGTATTTCTGCGTGTTTATGGATTTCTCTTGTTACGCTTTCCTTGCATACGAGGTGCGATCGAAAAGTTTCCAGACTGCGCCTATAAAAACTCGTACACTTATCTCAGGTATTAAATTCATCCATCACCCTCGAAGTAGTTCCCCTGGGAGTGAACACAACGATCCCAGCGCCGCTGCCAAGTCTGGAAGCATCCCTGGAAATCTTTCTGCCTGAATCTCTTCTATCGTCTCAAATCTCCTTCCCTTTAGCTGAATTTTCATCTTTGGGAAGAGGAAGAAGTCACACGGCGAATAAGGAGGGTGCGGGATGACGGCCATGGTGTTTGAGGCCCAAAACTGCCGAACTTTGAGGGCGGTGTGCGCTGGCGCGTTGTCATGATGCGTCGCATGGGGAGTTCTTCGTTTAGAATCAGCTGACAGGTCCCATAGCCTATCCCAACAAGGTCGCACAAGTCGTTGATGGTACGACGTCGATCTTCGTGAATGGCCTGCCGAATCTTCGTAACATTTTCGGGCGTCGTGCTCGAAGATGGTCGTCCAGAACGCTCGTCACCATCGACTTCCGAAATCGCAGGAGGGTCGGTGTAATGCACTACCGAAACGCCCGTAACTAAGAAACAAATGCTAATTCGATGATGCCGGCTGGCTCACTGATTCACTATGAATGTAGGCCGCACCCCCTAGCGGCAGAAGCTCGTACTACATCCGGTTCGCCCTCTATTGACACAGTATTTAAACTTTCCGATCGCACCTCGTATAGTGGAGTGAGTGAACCCTTATAAAAGTGTACTTGTGTCAATAGTTTGACTGCAAGTTTAATTTCATAAATTTACTTGAATGATGTGGGCAAAGTCTGGTTCTGTTGTTCTACTCAAATACGTGGCCTGACGAATTAGGTTTTTGTTTATATCGGTTTAAATAATCTATAAGATCTGACCGAATTGACAGCTTTTTCAAGAATTTGAAACTGTTTATCGTATTGGTATATGGTATGAAATATAGATCTTAATAAGGATTAGTTTTTATTAAAAAAGTTTACTATATAGTGGATTCCGGTTAACTGGGGACACTTTGGTCTAATTAAGCGGCTGCCCCAATTATGTGAAGTTCCACTTAAAGAATTTGTTATTTAAGATTTGTTCCAAATAAACGGCTGCTTCTATTAACCGATAGTCCAATTAACCGGAATCTACTGTATATAAACTGTGGTTATCCAACACTCAATTCCCTGATGATGGAGACAGAAGGAGTCTCTGTAACTCTGGACTTCGGTTCCAATTTGACGCTGCTGGTCGCCCGAGAGGATTTTATCACTGTTGGTCGCCGTGAAAGCTGCGAGTCGTTCAAAACATGGAGCATGTTTAGCCTGTGATTCTTGGAAACAGAAGAGAATATTGCTGGTCCCAGGTAGTTCGTTATGCCAAATAAACTAAATGTATTTTTTTACAGTATTTACGATTCTTCTGCTTCCCTATTTATCCCCTCGAGTCGGCAGTATCGTTGTTCCCTTCTGGTTATATTTATCAGGTTGCGTACTTCTCACAACATACATGTTTCTAATTTTTTTGTGCAAAGGGCCCTATTTAGATTATAAATCTTTTAATTAACCACTTCTTTTGGTTTCTGGTCTTCTTCCGTCCCCTACCCGCCCCTCTTTCACCCATGATGCCGTTCGCCATCCGCGTCTTTTCTCCTCCGAATCCTCATGAAATCGCTGTCGTATTTGGCAATGGGAGTGCCATGCTAAGTTATGCTAATGCACGGAGCGTGAGGATGTCGCTGGTTGTTGTATCCCCCGGGTGCAGTGTCTGATCTGCTTCCCTTCCCAGTTTTGTGCACGTTCCCCATTTCAGCGTCTCGGTCTGTGTTGGGATGTATGGATCCCATATATTGTATTCCAATACCGTCTTTAGTACGATGAGTCGGGGGTTTTGGCGAAGGATTTAACCCTATCATGCATGCCTCTTCATCCCGAAGGTCTTGAGGGAGAATATTGCAATAGTGTGCTGGTTCAACAACTTGATTTTTTTAAACCGAAGGACCAATGTTCGCAGCTGTCCTATAATTTCTAAGTAACGTGTTTTAACACAATATTCTGTCCAGTTGCTTGTTACGTATTGGGTATCAGACGAAATTGTGCCAAATATTGTACAAACGTGTCCTCTTTTTACGATATTTTACACATTTTGACCTTCATGTTCATTTATTGCATAGAAAATCCACACTGCGACATGTATTTTATTCTGGAAATCCCGTGCCTGATCGGTGTTCCAGTGACCAGGTATTATTATTATTATTATTAGTGTTCTGTCTGACGATAGGTCCATATGAACAGGATCCTTCCATCCTTTTCTCGGACTGGGACCTGTTCATATACGTTCTTGGCAGATGATCCAGAAGTGGTTTGCCATTGCCTTCTTCTGTGTGTGAATGGAGTAATTGTTGGGATGCCACGGAGGAAAACTCCGTGTTGCCTAGACCACGGCCTTGCCCAATACAAGTTATAAATTCGGGCACCGCCGGGAATCGAACCCGAGACCCCAGGATTACAAGGCCAGCGTTCTAACCGTATTCTGAGTTTATTTTCGTGGTCTTCGTCAGCCTCTTTAGATGAACACTAATGTCTCAAAAATTGACAACATCCTCTGTATTCAACATCCTTTACAATTCATCATTCACCGTTATCCTATAATTCGACTATACATATTTAAGGGAAAATGTAATTTAAATCCATTCAGTATCAAGATTAAAATCCACTTGACTAAATTGACCAGCCACGTGATGGATTAGACATGAAGCTCGTGTCTTAAAAGCGAGGGTATATTAAATGTATTATAGGTCGATCGAAGTCACGCAGTCCATTACTGACATGTTTTATTTGTAAAAAGTAAATTACATTGAAACTAGAAAACAAAAACAAAGTAATGTTATATAAAGTGCTGGAAATGATCACCGCGTTTTGTGATGCATACATTAACTCTTCCTTACGTTTGATGTAACCCGGTGAAGAGATCCTGTGTCATGGAAATGGTCCACCTGACGAGATATTGTCGATTTATTTGGCACAGGAGAAAAGGGAAATTCATCCCTGAACCAATTCCGGAAAGTTAATTAAGAACGAGATGACAGATTGTGTTTGGCAATGCGCATGTGAGGAAGACATCCTTCCACTTCCTTGCACTTGAAGTCAATTGACCGACGCGAGCAGGTCACGGTTACATAAGACACGACGCGTGTGTCATCTTGTATCCATATTTAACTATGAATATGGAAACAGCATGTTTCTCCAAAACATTGGTATTTACCTACGGGTCTACATGGCGTCACAACCTAGATGACAACATTCCACTCGTACATCGCAGTTTGTGTTGTCAAACGCCTTCCAGTAAGAAACAAATTGGAATCGCAGGTTTGAGTTCTAGTCTGGAGGTGGATGTGTAGGCGTCTTGCTGCGTTGTCCTGGTCGGAAGAGGCCTTTCATTGGGACAAAACACAACGAGAGTAATGTAACCGGTTACAATTGAAAAATAATCATAGACCTAAAACAAGTGAGGTTTTCATGGCGGTGAAAGTTTGTATTATGTCTTCCGGTTACAGAATCATGTAATAATGTTACCGCCGTCGCAAAAGAACCTGCTGCCTTAATCTTCAGGTAAGAATTGAGTGCTGTACGGTTTATTTTATGTACCTCGCTTTGGCTTTGTCTGGCCAGTCTTCTTATTTACTTAGCCACAATTCCACCACCCTTTCTGCATAAACACAGATATCTTACACATTACCAAAAAAATGAAGGCAGTGAATTCATTTGAAATGTCTGTAATATGATTGCAGGGGTTCTTAATCTAGAAGACCAGAGAAAAGCAGTCTTGCACATAAGAAAATAAATTGTCGTACTTTGTGATTTGGCTAACCTGTTACAACGTAATCGTGGTCTTGCCCAGCCAGCATATACCCGGAAGTTCCACAAGTACTTAGTTCAAAACTCGGGTGGATTATGCGTTATTTGACTCAAGTGTTTCGAAAATTATTTCTTTCTCCAGATAAATGCCTTCATACTAAGTTAAAAATATCAAGATAGTCTCCTTTTCAATCATTAACAATTTGCATTTTATAATCATATAGACATCTCATTTGGATGTTATGTTAACACGTGCTTAATATATTTTGGGTTAGCATGTAAACCAACCGAATAGGATGCAAATATAAAGCTCCTCGGTTATTGTCTGAAATTCTTAACTACTAAACATGCGAATTGTAATTCGTCTCATTAAAGGTATAAGCCGAATACCATTGAAACTTGTAGCTCCAGCGAGTTCATTACCAACTTGACAGTAAAGAAGGGCAAAACAGTATTTTATAGGGGTATCAGGGCGATTCTGTTTGCCACTAATTCTCTTGTTTCCGGGACATAAATTTCAGATCAGCTCAAGTCGAGTCAGTCATTAATTCACTGGACCCGTTAATAGGTCATTTAGCACTTGTTAGTTGAGGAGTTGGGAAAATGCGGATGGAGCCATTTTGAAGGGACCACTTGTGAGAAATGTTGAAGATATCTTTTTTAACGTGTTATTCACCTGCATTAAAGCATGAAAGCGTATGTAATAATTGATGTG